ATTTTAAAAAAAAAAAAATTAAATGTAAAACAAAAACGGATTCTGAGAATCCGTGTTTCGGTTAAAAATTTTAATTAGAAACACAGATTTTCAGAATCCGTCCGTTTAATTTTTTTCCACAAATATTTTTTTTTTATTTTTTGCCACAGATTTTTATATTTTTTTTTTAAAATAACCCACCCCAACTCGTACCGTTATTAACATCTCTCATTAAACTTAAACATTATTTCTCATTACAGCTCACGTAAGCCATAATATATATGGTCAACTTTGACAGCTTCAATTCAACTTTCAACTGACTAATTAGTAAGATCCTTACAAAATTATGAAGGCAGCATTATTATTATTATTATTATTATTATTATTTTTTTTTTTTGTTGTAAGTTATTTAATACAGATGAAATCATATTAATTATGATTTTATATAAAATACCCATAGAAGGTTGTTGGAGATATTGATCCTGGAATGGTGACTACCCTCAACTTGGCTTTCATATCTCTATTCAAGTAGTGTTTTTCAATTTTCAATAAATAAATAAAATAAAAAATTCACTCATTATTATCTATATTTTTTTAAATAAATTACCGATTTTTGTACGCAAATTCTTGTTTGAGACGACTTGATCGAATAAAATTACATACTTATACTAAAATATGCAATTTTTTTTGGAACTAAAAATAAGCATACTTTTGAAAAATGAATGACCTAATGGTTAGATCGACCTAATAGAATACCTACTATCAACGTTGTTAAATTAAACGAGTCTGATTCGGTTTGACACAGCTCGAGCTCATTTAAAGCTTCTAGGTTAACGAGCCAAGCTCGGCTCGATATGGCCCGTTAAGACGAAAACATAGTTTTTATATATTTTTCTACAGTTCAATTTGTTAAAGTTAAAGATCGACTCGTTAATGCTCGAAATCGGCTAGTCAATAGCAATAATTAATAAATGAGCCGTCGAACTCGAATTTTGACTCGTTTATATATTTTGATGTAATTTTTTTTTTTTGGTTGAATTTTTATAACATGCACTAATTTGTCATTGATGGATGATTAATTGTGGAAAGAGGTTGGAGAGAATAAGAGACTTGGAGACAATAGATTTTTCTGTTAAATCATAAAGAGTCTTTAATGTATGCTGGGCACGTTGGCTTAAGGGCGTCTCCAATGGTTAGCTATTTGGCTAACTATTATGACGTGGACAGGAAAAAAGTAAGAGAGAGAGTAGTCACTAGCTACTAACAAATAGCTTATCTATTTCACGTAGCCCAAGATCATGTGAGAGGAGTACGTGGGTCCAATAGTGTAAAATAGTTATTTTTCTTATCTCTCACATCCACGTCAGCTAACTATATAGCTAGTAATAGCTATTACCATTGGAGATGCCCTAACCCCTAGTGGCATTGGATTAGGTCACTTTCACATAATCATAAATGCACTTTAATATAAATTGGGGAAAGATATAAAAACACACATGCAAATTTAATGTCAATTTCAATCAATCTACTTATATTTCATTAAAATTAATTAGTCTTATAGGAACACAGTGGTTGGCTAAAAGTACTAAAGATATGACAAATCAATCCTTTATATATTTTAAACGGTTTTGATATGAAGCCGACAATTGGCTTCATAGTGGAGCCAACCTTCTATATACAACAAATAAACCTACTATACTTAAATATAAATTTATTAATATGGTAGGTTTATTTGTTGTATATAAAAGATTGACTCCACTATGAAGCCAATTATTGACTTCATAGCGAAACTGATATTTTAAATATAAAGATATAAGTAACATTTAATGGAATTTGAAGATAATCAATATACACTTTCAGATTTTTATTAAATTTATTTTCATAACTAGATAAATAATTATTTCTTAATCATTTTTGATTGATTGAATTTAATTTATAAAAGCTGTAGTGCATCATTTTTTTATTTAATATGGATGTAAACTGAAAAAGATAATAAAATATACACATATCATGAAAGAAAAAAAGAAGCTTACTAAATAAAAAAAAAATACTTGTAATTCAAATTGGTTATATATTTTCCAAGTTTATAACACCTATTATTAAAATTACATATATAAGAATTATTAATAGTAAAAAATGCATTGGTGATTGGTGGTTGGATTTATTGGTCATATAGGTAAGACTTGCAAATTCTTTCTTAGTCAAATATTGCGGACTGTAAGTCTGTAAGTTTGAGGACTGTATACATCAGCAATTATGACCCTTTTCCTTTTTTCCAAATCTATACATAGTATTTATTATAAATAAAAAGTGCAGTGCAAATACAAGCTGCTCAACGAGAACAGCCAACAGCTGAAAAGTGGAAGGATAGATTAAAAGACCACTTAGAATCTCGAATAGTAACGCTAGAATAAAACTCACAACTAAACTAACCAACTACTCGAATAACTAAAACAACTAAAAAAGATCCCAACAGAGTAATACACAGTGTCGGATCCCAACAAAATAATAAAGATGACCCTTTTCTTTATTATGTTAAAAAAGTCATTTACACATAATTATACATTGATAAATAGATTGATTTCAGTTACAAAAGAAAATCTATAATATGTGAGCACACAGTGTGTGTGTGTGTAATATTGTATAATAAATTAATAAATAAAGAAAAAGAAGATGGGGAATAAATATATGAATTGTGATTCAGGATGAGCAATTTAAATTTGGTTGTAAAATGAATAGAAGAAATTGGATATTAAAATCATGAATATTTTGAAATCAAATACACCCAGTAAATGTAAAAAATCGAATATAGACTGAACCGAAATTTTTACACACAAAAACGACCACACCTTACTGTATTGCACAATTCTATTCGATTTTTTTTTCCTATTTTACAATGTATTTCAACTCGTTTTGTGTAAAACTACACATAATCGAAATAAGAAAAATCGAACTTGTGAAAAGAAATAATCGAATTCATCAAAACACATAAAAAAAAACCAAATTAAAATTTCTACACTAAAATAATCGAATCGAATCGAATCGAATCGAATCAAATTAAAATGAATCATAATTGATAATGCATTTCAATTTTTTGATTTAGACTCCATTTTGATCACCCCAATTATTTTTATTATTTTTAAAGAAAATTAAGGTGGACCAGATGAGTGAGCCATGTGCAGTTATGTGGTTCTTGGCTTTTCTGCTACTTTTTATCTATAGTACCATCCAAAACACCATATTCAAAAAAGATTCAATTTTTATTTCTAAGTCCAAAATCATCCTTTCACCAGAAAAGCACGTACGAGCAAAAGTTGATCTTTATTTACTGAAAAAAAAAAAAAATACTTTCTCTGTTTGGACTGTGCGAGGAGAAGGTACAAATGTTTATGCGCAAGGGTCCAAGTCCTAAAAGCTAATAACATCTGTAGCAAAAGCTTGCAACCCCTTTCTTTTACCGCTTTTTGCTTAAAAGCCCAAAAAGAAAAGGTAAAGAGGCAAAAAAAGGTCAGTTCTTTAATGTTTTCTTGTGTATAAATTATGGGAAATGCAAATGGGTTTGGGGTTCTGTAACAGCTACCGCTCTCATATCAGCGGTTTTCATTGTTTATAGATTTGGGTGTTGGTGGGTAAGCATAGTTCTTTATCCCTCGTTCAAACCAACCCCAATTATTCATGCTGCTAAAGAAATCATTTTTCGTTTATTTTTGTTTGATTTTTACTGGTTTTGGCTGTGGCTTTTATCTCAGCAGCATAAGGCGGGCCTTGTTCATCGTGGGTTTTTGAATACAAGCTTGATCTGAAATTTGTTCCCTGTGGGAAACGAAGAGTTCGTAGGTTGTCAAGTTCGTAGGTTGTCAAGATGGGTGAGAAGCCTGAAGCTTTAGATGCTGTTCTTAAGGAAACTGTGGATTTGGTAATGGATCTGACATATGGATGATTTTTTTTATTTTTTATTTTTTTTCTGAAGGGATGTGTGTGTGTGAGTGTTGTCTGTCTCTCTTCTTCTTTCTCATTTGGTTTATATATTTGTGGGTTGTTGCAGGAAAACATTCCCATTGAGGAAGTTTTTGAGAATTTGAGATGCACGAGAGAGGGCCTTTCAAGCGAGGGTGCTCAAGAGAGATTAGCCATTTTTGGACACAACAAACTTGAGGAGAAGAAGGTTCTCTTTTTATGCTAAAACTCTGTTTCGTTTTTCAGTTTTTTTTTTTCGTTTCTTTTGCAGTTTTCTGATGAATTTCTTAGGCCTTTTAATGTAATGTAGTTCTGATGTAGACGTTCATAATTTTGCCTCTGGGGCTTGTTTATCTTTGTTATGTTTGTTAATAACCTGAGTTCTTTTTTCGAAACAATTTGATGTTTTATTTCAAGGGTAATGCTTCACTACTGGGCAGTTTATGCCTGTTCTGTATAGACACATTTGTAGAGTTTGTGTCCTTCTATGTTCTTCAACAGCTTTGTATTGTTTCAGGAGAGCAAATTCCTCAAGTTTTTGGGGTTTATGTGGAACCCTCTCTCATGGGTTATGGAAGCTGCGGCTATAATGGCTATTGCTCTTGCTAATGGAGGAGTAAGGACATAATTTATCCTGTCAAAATTTCATGTTTAGAGATCTTTTCCTCTTAAAAAAGAAGACTATTGAATTTTGGATTTAATTTTCACAGGGTAAGCCTCCAGATTGGCAGGATTTTGTGGGTATCATAACGTTACTCGTGATAAACTCCACTATTAGTTTTATTGAGGAGAACAATGCTGGCAATGCAGCTGCTGCTCTCATGGCCCGTCTCGCTCCAAAAGCAAAAGTTAGTTATTTTACTTATTTATTTATATGAACTTTCCTGATGAGTATTTTGTGGTATTTTTAATCCAATCAATAATAATTGTGCAAAGGTTTTGAGAGATGGAAGGTGGAATGAGGAAGAGGCATCGATTTTGGTGCCTGGTGATATCATTAGTATCAAACTAGGTGATATAATTCCTGCTGATGCTCGTTTGCTTGAGGGCGATCCACTGAAAATCGACCAGGTTTGTTTTCCTTTATTTTTTTTATATTAGATTTGTTTATTATTATTATTATTTTTCTCGTGTTCGGATTTCAATCTACATTTCGTTTTTGGTTTATTTGGTGGAATCTTGATTGATGCACAGTCTGCTTTGACGGGCGAGTCTCTTCCTGTGACAAAGGGACCAGGTGACGGTGTGTATTCTGGTTCGACTTGCAAACAGGGAGAAATCGAGGCTATCGTTATAGCCACTGGGGTCCACACGTTTTTTGGAAAGGCTGCTCACCTTGTCGATAGCACTAATCAAGTCGGGCACTTCCAGAAGGCAAGTTTGATTAGTGTTTCATATTTTAGGCATTGGCCCAAAATTTATCATTTGGGATTATAAATATCATTGCCTTGTATAGTTTTCAATTCTTCGGTTGAAATGGCCAAAATGGCAAATTTAGATTGAACTGGTCGAAATTGTTGAATTCTTATAGAGGCTGTCTTGGATTGAGGGACTTAATATTCATTTCTTTATATTTCCCGTTTGGGTGTCATATGGGTTTGTGAATATCTCAGATCCCACTATAAATTTGTCTTTTATCTTTCTCTCAATTTTAATAAATATAGCATTTATAGATTTCACGTCTGTTTTTAGTGTGTGTGGAAAATGTGATGTTTATGTGTGCAAAAGTGTGGTTTGCTTCTTTTCTTTGTGTAGAAACAATGTAATCAGTATTTTCTGTAAATGTTATATATATTTTCTCTAGATCCTTGAAATATGATTTAAAAGTTGAAAGATGGTCTTATCTGCAATTGAACAAATCATAAAATAAAATATCTTTTTTACAGACTTGAAATTTTATTTTTTAGTTATTCTGTTTCTGGTACAATTACTAGGTGATTATTTGAACTTTGTGAGCTGATATTAGATGACACTCTTGCTTACGTGACTACTTTTCATCCTTACGATGTGCCTGCAAAATAAATCAAACAATTATATTTTCTTTTTTAGGTGCTTACCTCAATTGGAAACTTTTGCATTTGCTCGATTGCGGTTGGCATGATAATCGAGATTATCGTGATGTACCCTATTCAGCACAGAGCATATCGCCCCGGGATAGACAATCTTCTCGTGCTCCTCATTGGTGGAATTCCTATTGCCATGCCAACTGTCCTTTCGGTCACGATGGCCATTGGTTCTCATCGCTTGGCCCAACAGGTTTGCTAGTTGCTGTGATTGATTATTTGTGCTTAGGCAGTTACAATAGTGTGTAAAATTGTATATTTGTTGGTTTGAATAGGGAGCTATTACCAAGAGAATGACGGCTATAGAGGAGATGGCTGGCATGGACGTGCTTTGCAGTGATAAGACGGGAACTTTGACTTTGAACAAGCTTACTGTTGACAAGAATCTGATCGAGGTTTGATTTTCTTTTTGTTTTTTATTTTTTATCGTGGGAAAATGTTTGATTGCCCGCTTAGCTAGCTTTCATAAAATCACTTTTCAGTGTTTGTGAATGTGGGCTTCAGCTTATGCTTCTTTGCTTTTGATGGTTTGTTTATAAAAATAAGTTTGTTTTCAACTATCTATTACAATTTCGTTAAACTGCCTCTCTTCCTAGATACCCATATATACCATTTTCATTTGTCTATCCAAAAGCTCATATTCAAATTATTCCTTTACCCTCTCTCTCTCTCTCTCTCTCTCTCTCTCTCTCTCTCTCCCCTTCGAACTATTAAACTTTGTTTCTTCAGAATTCACATTCTATTCACAAAGTAGTAAAATAGCTACTGATTTTCAAGCAGTTTTAGCTTCTAACACTCTACTACGATAAATCACTTTCAAAGCAACATATTTGCAAGCACTCATTAACCATATTCTTGTGTAGGTTTTTGCGAAAGGTGTTGATGCAGACACAGTTGTATTAATGGCAGCTCGAGCTTCGAGGACCGAAAATCAAGATGCTATAGATGCTGCTATAGTCGGGATGCTGGCTGATCCCAAGGAGGTACACAAGATACTTCTGTTTTTATGTCTCATATTACATAATCCCGGTTTTCAACTTCATTTTCAATTTGTCAAGTTATTTCAATAAATACTCATAAACAGGCACGAGCTGGCATTCGAGAGATTCACTTTCTTCCTTTTAACCCAACTGACAAGCGAACAGCTTTGACTTACATTGATGGTCAAGGAAAAATGCACAGGGTCAGCAAAGGTGCACCCGAGCAGGTAAAAAAGTTTTATCCTGTTGTTTCTATGTAATTATACTTTTCCTATTAGGTAAAATGGTAAAATGTTGTGTGAAAAATGCAAAAATGTAGATTCTTCACCTTGCACACAATAAGTCAGAGATTGAGCGAAGGGTTCATGCTGTGATCGACAAATTTGCCGAAAGAGGTCTGAGATCGCTTGCGGTGGCATACCAGGTAATTACATTTAATGTATGTTTTTTTAGTGAGTTTACTTTTTTAATCTTATTTATATTATCAACCTCTCTCTCTCTCTCTCTCTCTCTCTCTCTCCAGGAAGTTCCAGAAGGAACAAAAGAGAGTCCTGGTGGGCCATGGCAGTTCATTGGTCTAATGCCCCTCTTTGATCCTCCGAGACACGACAGTGCAGAAACCATAAGAAGGGCTTTAAATCTAGGAGTCAACGTCAAAATGATAACTGGTCCGTTAAACTCGTTTTGCATCTTCAAGCAGTAAAAATATGTCGAAATTCAAGTTTTTGCTCGATGATCATGTGTCTATTGTACCTGCGTGCTACCATTGTCAAACATTTTCCGAAATCTTGGCCTATTTTCTATTACATAACTTAAATATATTGTTAGATAAGATATAAAGCCCGTTCGACTGGGTCTGAGAGACTTTTTACCCTTTGAAGGATTCAAAAACTATTCTCGAGCCATATGAGATAATTATTAGCTGATTTTTTTTGTCTATTTTCAATTTGATGTTACTTCTGCCGAGCTATACTTACTAGAACTAGTGGATTTTCTTGTGAGGTAAACGTTTAAAGTGGTGTGGGTTATAACAGGCGATCAGCTAGCAATCGGAAAAGAAACCGGACGGAGGCTAGGAATGGGAACTAATATGTATCCCTCTTCGGCTTTACTCGGACAGAACAAGGATGAATCAATTGCTGCTCTTCCAGTTGATGAGCTCATCGAGAAAGCCGATGGTTTTGCCGGTGTCTTCCCTGGTATTTTTCTTTTCTATCTATTTTTCTTTCTTTTTTATATTCTTCCAATGAGTTTGATTCTCATATACCCATTTTTTAATCATAAAATAGTTCATCTGGTTCTGTAGTTTCAGTATCTTGTGGATTTAGTCTTTTTATGTAGTCACATATAGATTCAAGTTCAGTATTAGTAAATTTAGTCAGCTTTAGCAGCATCTTTTTTTTTTTTTTTAAAACTCGGACTGCCCTAGTTGTCAATATCTGATTAAGTTTCATCGCTCCATTCAAAACCGGAAATAATTTTGAAGTTGTTAGCAATTATTGGACAAAAAAGGGTTAGAACTACAGATAATCGAGTTAGAGGTCTTAAAGAACCATTATAGTTTATATTAATGATTTTTCTTGTTATCCTTTTTGTTTTTTTTTTTAATAATTAAATGTGCTAATCATATTGGATGTTTTTGGCAGAGCACAAATACGAAATTGTGAAGCGCCTGCAAGCAAGAAAACACATATGTGGAATGACTGGTGACGGAGTAAATGATGCTCCTGCTTTGAAAAAGGCTGATATTGGAATTGCTGTGGCTGATGCCACTGATGCTGCTAGAAGTGCTTCAGACATTGTTCTTACCGAGCCTGGACTTAGCGTGATTATAAGCGCCGTGTTAACTAGTCGAGCAATATTCCAGAGAATGAAGAATTATACGGTAATAGTAATACATATTCAATGAATTATTATTAAGTTTCACAACATGAACTCTCATTGTTTTTTTTTTTGTTTTGTTTTTTTTTTAACATATTTCTTGGCAGATTTATGCTGTCTCTATTACAATTCGTATAGTGGTGAGTTGAATTAAGCTTTCTGTTTCTTATTTTTTGTATTTACTTAAAAAATAATCATTTGCTTCAGTTTTGATGTGTTCTTATTTTTTTTTTTTGTGATACGAAGGTTGGTTTCATGCTGTTAGCCCTCATATGGAAGTTCGATTTTCCCCCTTTCATGGTGCTTATCATTGCAATTCTCAATGATGGTTAGCTCTTCCATCTATGTCTATTATTTTTATTTATTGTTATTGATAATTTCCCACTTCTGTTTGACACTTTTCATGCGACTCTCGTACAATGAAGGTACCATTATGACCATATCAAAAGATAGAGTGAAACCATCTCCACTGCCTGACAGCTGGAAGCTTGCCGAGATATTTGCAACAGGTGTCATTCTCGGTGGTTACCTTGCAATGATGACCGTCATTTTCTTCTGGGCGGCTTACAAAACTAATTTCTTTCCGGTAGGCTATTTTTGCAACGATTTCATTTTCTTTCGAGTATTATCAATAAGCTATTAGATTATTACCATGACGTCTAAAAAATTTGTGATGTGAAATTTAACAAAAGGATGTTCATTTCAACTCAAACTTTAGGGTGCTTGTATCAGTGGGTGTTTTTTTAGTAACAATAATATCTCTATTTATTTATTTATTTTTTCATAAATTCTCAGCATGTATTTGGTGTGTCGACACTTGAGAAAACGGCACACGATGACTTTCGGAAGCTTGCTTCAGCCATATATCTTCAAGTCAGCACTATCAGCCAAGCTCTTATATTCGTCACAAGGTCCCGAAGTTGGTCATATGTCGAACGTCCCGGTTT